AATATAAATTCAAAGTAAACATCATTACATAAAAGGGTACGGTCTTTTTTTTTTTTAGTTTTATTCATTTCAAACGGGCCAGATCCGGCCCGCGGGCCGTAGTTTGCCCACGGCTGGGCTACGGCATGAGAAGCTAAAAGGGAAATGTGGGTCCAATCACCCAACTCTTCTAATACACGTGCTAAGAAAGTGCATGAGCTAGTTTTGGTATGCATTAATGTTTTGTTTGTTGCTGGTTTTTAATCCTCACTTGAGAACATACTGAGAGAGAGAGAGAGACAGACAGACAGACAGACAGACACTCCCAGACTGGGGAATCAAACCCAAAATCCAGATGTGTACACTAACCAGGAATCAAACCAGCAACTTTTCGGTGCTGTTATGCATTCAGTTTGTTACATAACAAAGTACCCTGAGAGTTAATGGCTTAAAACAATAGTCATTTAGCTCACGGTGTGGGTCAGTTCTGTTGTTCTCACGTGAGGCGCGCTTCTGCCATGCAGCTGGCGGAGACGGCCTCACTCGCAGGCCTGGCTGGAAACTGGGCCACGTGTCCACAGTGAGCTCCACTGCAGAGGCACTTTTCAAACCTCTGCTGCATCACATGTTCTGATGTCCCATTGGCCAGAGCAAGGCACGCGGCCAAGTTCAGATTCAATGCACTGTACCTCTTGCCAAGAGAGGCAAAGTCACATGTGAAGAAGCCAACAAACCGATGGGAGGACGCTGTGGCCACTTGGGTGAGCCACCACACCCATCAGGTGTGTCTGATGGGCCTAAGTGGAGCTACCTGAAATTATGAGCTGATTCGTGGGAGATGGGTCTGATTCATAATGATATCACCACAGGATCCTCACCTAGTTGCTGCTTTCTTATTGAGGTCTAATTGACAAGTAAAACTGTATATATTTAAGGTGTGCAATGTGATAATTTCACATACATATACCTTGTGAAGTGCTTGGTCACCACAATCAAGTTCATGAACACATCCATCACTTCACATCATGACCTTTGCTGTGTGTGAGAACACAAGATGTACTCTCTTAGCAAATTTCAAGGGCTAGTTGGTTCTTATTAATTGTCTTTATTGAGTGGAGTTGAACTGAATTGAGTTGGTTCTCCTTTCTAATTATAAGCTCCTTGGAGGCAAGTTTGAAATTGCTCTAGCACATACAATCTCCTTCCCACTCGTGGGCTGAAACCTTACGGGCTCTCAGCTAAGGGGTAGGAGGATGAGGTCTGGCACCAGCTCTGTGTAGGGCACTCTCGGGGGAAAGTGTGGGGCTTGCAGGAGACCACAAGCCCTGGCACCGAAGCATCTTCAAGCTGACCTTACCCCCCATGCGTGAAATCATTGCTTTAGGCTCAGGAGGCAGGAAGGCTCAGAAACCTGCAGAATGTGGCTTTCCCTCCCCACCCAGGGAAGCCAGCACACAAGGGCAAACCCAGGCCAGGCCCGGAGGAACCTTGTCTGCCAGGCCCCGGCCTCTGGGGCTTCTGCTCCGTGATAGCCCGGACATGCCACATCCTGTCCACCTCATCTTGGCTCTTGTCCAAAACTCATCAGGGCAAACAGTCGGCTGCTGTAGAACCAGGGCTGGGAGGATGGCTAAGACCAAATGTAGGGGGCAGCCCTTTCTTGGAGCTGCTTGCACAGCCCCCCTCACTCCTCTGGTGCAGCGCTACTCGAGATCCTGGTTCTAGATGAACTCCAGAGCTTCCTCAGGCTGAGGCGGGACAGCTTATCCAGATGGGACCCCTCTCTGGGAAGAGGAAGATGTCCTTCCCATGGCGTAAGCTGAGTCGTCAGGGACTTCTCTGGTCATAGGCTTAGGGGTGAGCTTTCTTTATATGACGCAGTCATATTCCCTACTTTATTCACTAGAACTCTACTCACTGCCCACTGTGGGCCAGGCACAGGCTCGGGCACTGGGGAGAGGTGAGACGAGCCAGGCGTGGGTCCTGGCTCCGTACAGCGCACGTACCCCGAGAACATTCATGTGGGAGGCACCAAGCCAGACGGGCTGCCTAAGACTACAGAATTGTGGCCCTGGCCCGTGTGGCTCAGTTGGTGGGAGTGTCATCCTGTATACCAAAAGGTTGCCGGTTCGATTCCCGGTCAGGACACATACCTAGGTTTTGGGTTCAATCTCCAATCGGTGTGTACCTCACATCGATGTTGCTCTTTCTCTCTTTCTCTTTCTCTCTGTTTCCCCCCTCCCTCCCCTCTTTCTAAAATCAATAAGCATATCCTCAGGTGAGGAAAAAAAAAATAGGCACCTTAGAGCAGAAGACACCTCCTCAGACCCAGCCCTCATTCCTTAGAGGAGGAGACGGAGCCCAAGAGAGGGAGTGTAGACATCTGGAGACAGTAAGTGGCAGTTATTCAGTCACTAGACAAGCATTCACTGAACACCTCCTGTGTATTAAGATCTGGGCTGGGCACTGGCGACACCACAGGGGAACAAGGAAGACACAGTCCCTGTCCTTTTGCCAGTTCAGCTGTGACCGGTGAGTCCCCATCCAGGTCACACTTCAGAACCAGCTGGGGAGCTTTAGGAAAAACCCCAAGGCCGGGGCCTGATGCCGAGATCCAGACTTGCCTGGTCTGGGCGGCCCGGGCACGGGTGTTTTAAACACGTTCTCCAAGTGGTTCTCGTATGCAGCCAGGTCGAGAGCCCCTGCTCTGGGGGAGAGACAGACGAAAACCGAGCGAACAGGAGAACAGTCACAGCTGAGATTTGTGATTTATAAGGAGCAGGATGCGGACGGAGTGAGGACACAGCAGGGCGGGGTGTCTGTCATCTGATCTGCTTAGAGAGCTGGGCTTCCGAGGGTCCAGTGGGAACAGGCACAGGATGGTCTCCTATGAGACAGCAATAGAATCTTCTGGCACATCCTGCCCACCCTGCAGACCCACAAATCCCTGCCCGGGAGCCCCGCCAAGCAGAGGCTCTTAATCTGCAACACACACTGGCTACCTGCCATTCACACCCCCAACCCCACCCGAAACACCCCTCCACACACTGTTTGTGAATTGTCCCCAGGGCAGCGGCTTAATAATCCCTGTCCTTTTCAGCGTCGTTGGGAAAGCACATTCCCTCTTGCAATCTGGGATATTGGATCCTACTGCTAATCCCATGAGTGAGCAGGGTCAAGGTCAATAGTGCCGTGATGGAGATGTGGAAACAGGCTCAGAGGAGCCCCGTGCCCCACCCAAGGTCACATGGCTGATCTGGAAGTGTGAGCCCTCAGTCCAGCTCACCAGCCTCTAACCCCACTCTGCACGTTGCCCCGCCCACATTGCACCAGGAAACCGAAACCGAAGCAGGCGCCTGAGGGGCCGTGGCCACACCACCCTGATCCAGAACCTTCCTGTCAGGTCGGGCAGTGATGACGCATCCTCCCTTTAACTTGATGGCTTACAATCTCGTTCCCCATCAGGACTCCAAGGCATCTGTGACTCCTTGCTTCGGTTCCTGCCCAGAGTGAACCCAGTTACCATAGTAACCTCGTGCAGTTCTTTATAATAGAGAGGGTTGGTGGTTTTCATTTTGTGTTTGAAGGGTTTGTCCAGCAGTTACGCGGCCCTGGCTTGGCCTGTTGGCGGCAGTTAGGAGCAGCGGGAACCCTCGGGGCAGCCATGAGGTCCTTTCTGTTTCCACAGATGGTGGACACCTGTGTCTGGGAACACCCACCCGCCATCCACTGGGGCAGGAGGTGGGGAATCTAGGCCTTGTGCTGTATTGGGTGCCCTCTCCTGTTTCTAGATCACACCTTCCTAGTTAGAGCCACCTGAGCCACGGGGACCCCTCGGCCAGTTGCTCCCATAGTTCCCCTCCGTGACTCTCATGCTCAGAACCGTGTTGCTCAGTCCTCAGTCCCACCCTGGGGACCTCCTGGAGAGCCCAGTCTGGGCCCTTCCTCGTACGTGAACCCAGTGCAGGTCCGGGCCAGGCACAAGGCCGGTGCTCAGTAAATGCTTGTTCCGTGTCATGAAGGTTAGGGCTGGGAGGAAGTTTGGACATCCCCGAGTCCAGCCCTTATTTTATAGGAAGGCGGAGACCCACCCATGAGCAAAGCTACAAATGACAATAGCTCAGACTTACAGAGTGTGTGCCGGGCGCCAGACCGGAGTCTACGCACTCTGTACATACGAGCCCATTGCAGCTCCCAGCGGCCACAGGTCTTATCACCGTCCCCAGATCGGCACCCCAGGCACCGAGAGGTTCAGAGAGGTACCCGAGATCGCAGAGCTAGTGAGTGTTCCGGCCAGGATCCAGACCCAGGCAGTTCCTCTCCCGGACCCGCCGTTAGCACCTGCTGCTCTGTGCGGGGGCAGCACTGCCCACAAGCACCGTGGGTCCCTCTCCGACGGGGCAGGGAGCCGGGGCCAGCCTGCGTCGCTCACTCACGGCGGAAACGTAACTTTTCATCTCCAGGTCCCCCTCTAGGGCTGAGCTCAGGGCTTGGCAGGAGCTTAGGGACCTGGTTTTATTCATTTGTTTATTTAAAAAATATTTTTAAAATTGATTTGAGAGAGAGAGGAAGGGAGAAGGAGAGAGAGAGAAAAACATTGGTGTGAGAGAGGAACATGGATGGGCTGCCTCCTGCACGCCCCCTACTGGGGAGGGAGCCCTCAACCCGCGCAGGTGCCCTGACGGGGAACCAAACCTCTGGGTGCAGGGATTTATCCCCAACCACGGAGCCACGCGCTGGGCAGGGACCTGGTTTTAGTACAAATGACCTCTTCTTCCTTCTCCTCATGAAATAGCCAGTTTGAGGGCACCTCCTAGCAGGACGGGACCTTGGGAAGCAATTTACAGAAATGGAGGCATTTCTCAGCCAGGTCTCCCCACGCCCCGTCCAGGGCGCTCACCACACAAGCGAGGGGTCCGGAGAGGGCCCCGAGGTGGGTCAGCTGCCCGTCCGTCCGTCCTCCCTCGCGCCCCGTGGGCTCTGCGTCTTGGCCACAACTAATGGGCTGTCCGCTCCCGCAGCTCTTCGTGATCGACAACGGTGCGGATGACTGGCGGATAGCCATGACCTACGAGCGCATCCTCTACATCAGTCTGGAGATGCTGGTGTGCGCCATCCACCCCATCCCCGGCGAGTACAAGTTCTTCTGGACGGCTCGCCTGGCCTTCTCCTACACGCCCTCGCGGGCGGAGGCCGACGTGGACATCATCCTGTCCATCCCCATGTTCCTGCGCCTGTACCTGATCGCGCGCGTCATGCTGCTGCACAGCAAGCTCTTCACCGACGCCTCGTCGCGCAGCATCGGGGCGCTCAACAAGATCAACTTCAACACGCGCTTCGTCATGAAGACGCTCATGACCATCTGCCCGGGCACCGTGCTGCTGGTGTTCAGCATCTCGCTGTGGATCATCGCGGCCTGGACCGTCCGCGTCTGTGAAAGGTATTCCGGCGGGTCGCGCTCTCCACTCAGCCCCTGTCTCCCGAGCACAGAGCCCTCCTGGGGTAGGGGAGGGAG